AGAGTTCAATCACGGCCACATGAATGGCTGCATTGCCGCCGAGTGACCTAGACTTGGAAGCATAGGAGACATACAACCGAAATCCTGGCAAATGCTTCTGCTCTGTGGACCGACCTTCGGGTCGGGCGGTAGCCTTGTTTCTCCCTCTCCATGTCCGGACAGAAGTATGGTGCCAAACTTCATGCCTTCCATCACCAAGTATAATGTCTTGGGATGCTGCACTGGTGTCAACGAAAATGGCCAACCCAACTATGCTGCCACTTCAACACTGGTGCTCACTGCTTGTGTATGTGTGTGGCGAACCTCAACGGTGTGAATGAAGTGCCTATACCTCGGCAGAGCAACTTCCACTTTTTACGCAATGGAAGCACTGATAACGTTGTCTGCGTTTGACATCCACCTCATTTCCGTGTTCAACTGACAAGATGCTTGCAGTTTGAAGCAACACCGCCCTGAACCATCTCGAAAAGCGAGGTTTTAGAGTTTCGCCTACCACATCTGCGTGTGGTGCGGATGTCGGTGATGACATCGCGCTAAACTCTCCGTTACGTTTTGGGGCGTCCCATTGGATGGAAGTGAGAGTTAGGTAGGGCCGAATATTTGCATCCATTGCGTCGGAAAAGAACTCAAACTTCTAGCTGAAATTGTTCCATCTAAAATTTTGCGGAAATTAGAAGGGCTTTATAGTATTTACGAGTGCGTCAAAATTGGCCTTTAAAGGAGACGGAAAATTAATTCGAACGCAAATCCAGTTCGTGAGGTGTGTGCAGGTTCTTTCCTAGGGTGGCATATACTTTCCGTCTCATTTGTTTGGCTCATTTTCCATCCTTTCTGTACGAGATGTCGAAAAAAATATTTATCAATTAACCCTCTACTGAAGTCCGATGCTCAGAGACTGAGTGTAGGCAGGCAGGATCTACAGACGTGCAACTGCAGAGGAGAGGTGGAAAGTCGATTTGAACCTTGAGCCAGCACAGCCTGAGGACCTTCCCCATAGCTAGTCTTGTTGTCATTAAACTAATCTAAACTAGTCCTTCTTGCATAACCCCCACCCTTTGAAGACTCATGAAGTATATGCTACGCCGCTTAAATAGCGCTTTAAAGGAAGAAGTGGTTCTTGAACGCAGAAGTCGAATTAAAGGAACCTACTGGGGATTCAGTGGACTGCCGAAGAAAACTTAACACAGTAATACCACAATTTCTCTCTGTTCGCTGTATTAAATTCCAAATAACTCTTTCAGACCAATTCACGCTTGTGAAAGCTGGCACACAAGATAGCGGGAGTAAAGAGGAAGACGCTTCAGCTAGAGCGAATGGTCAGGAGAACAAAGTGATGATATTGCAAACGTTATCAACTAAACTTCAGATGGCCTTATGTTTTCCATGAGCAAATTTAATTTTTGCACTAATCCATTAGTTACGCTAATTAACTCAATAGCAGCTAAAGTCAAACTTTGCCTTCATTAATAAGCGCTGAGGAAGATTTTTGTATTTCGCATTTCATTATACATTTCTGTCCTAAAATGATTGGCTAATATTTTACTCTAGCTACCGCGGGATTTTTAGGATTGTTGCTTCTGTATGGCTTCGAAACCGTATATATCACTCTTGATTTCATCATCTGCAACGGCAATGTCATGTGAGAAACGCTTCCTATTGAATACATTATTGTCAAGATTTAAGGTACTCACATTTCAATCCATGTCTATGTAGCTAGGAAAATTTAGTTCTTATCACTGGTTGCGACAACAAAACCATGAAACTAGAAGTCAGGGATGAGAACGAGAAATTTGTCAAGGAGCTGACTGATGATTCGAAGACTTTAGAAGAACTTGGGCTCAAAAACGGCTATCATGTACATGTCACTGATCCTAATATCGAGGCCGGTTTGTACGACAACATTATGGGGCAGGATTTGGAAGATAGGTTCAAGCTTTCCGACGAGCAGTACGCGGAGCGCAAAGGCAAGGGCACATTTTATAGTATTACATTCATTTAGACACTCTCCTGGCCTGGAAGAAACAGCATAATTTGGGGGAATTTCGAGAAGTTGATCCGGAGGAACGAAAAGCTGCTGAAGAAGCGAAACTTGCTAAAGAAGCTGCTGATAGAAAGCTTATAGAAAGCATGAAGATTGGTGATAGGTGGGTTATTTTTCCAAGCTACTATTTATTTATTGCGTTGTTGTTGCTTGGTCCCCCCGCAGCCTCACTTTGAAAAATAGCAAATTCGCTTAGGTTTTCCATAATACTCTCTTTATGAATTGAAACCCACCCTTTTTCTTTTATTTATGTTCATTCGGTTGATAATTTTATTTTGATGGAAACATTGACTATTCTCCCATCTTCAGCAGTCGTATTATCCTTATGTCGTTGTGATACTAGCCTACCAAGACATGATCTTATGTACTAAACATGAAACCACCGTAGGATGGCACAGTTGAATCTCCTGCCTCATCTAAAGTCAATAGTAGTTTGTTGGATAAGGACACGATGAGAGATATATGAGTAACTCTAAACATTTTAGGTGCGAGGTCCGTGTTCCAAAACAGCCGACCAAACGAGGAGAAATAGCCTTTCTAGGTTAGCTCAAAACCGAGCACTTAAAGGTGGGTAGTTTATCTATTAGTAACACCAACTCTCCTTAATTTTAGGGGAAACAAAATTCAAGGAGGGCATCTGGGTCGGTGTGAAGTACGATGAACCTCTTGGTCGGAACGATGGAAGGTGAGCTGATGCATTGTTTGGAACTTTGTCGGAGGTGTCCTTTCTTTTAGTGTATTATCGCTTATTAAGATGAAGTACGATTTTCTCAGCTTAAGCAATGTGTGTCATAGAAGCCAAGGCCTTTTTCATTGGAACTGGAGAAGTTAAGTGGTTTGGAGATTATCGAAGTGTAAGTGTTGGAAATTAGTGCTTCGAATTTCTCCTTATTTTGGATCAGATGTATCCAAAGCTGTTAAGGATGGTTGAGAGTAATCGCTACCTACTTCAAACTCAGACCGGGTCTTCTACGAAGCAGGTGTATTCTTACAAAAACTACAGAAGGGAACATGTTTTCCTTAATCCACATTATTAGCGGTTAAATCCTTCTCTATTGCTCGTCTCATTGAACTTGTTTTCAGGTCGGACTACGGGAAAGATTAGTGTGTTCATTCCCAATTTCTTAATTTCTCGTGTGTCGAAGCTTCCATGTCGTAAGCATTTGGGTCAACTTTCCCTTAAATCTAAGTTTGAAGAGGTTAGGTACAGGTATCCAAACATCAT